ATTTTACTTTGATTTATCCTTTTGATTGCTAACACAATCGTATAAAGGGATATTTTAGGTATTATATTAATATGTATGGAAGTTTGTCAGTGACCAACAAAGGATTCGACACTTATGAAGATAAGTGAATTTCCTATGTGTTTCATAGTTAGTAATTCAAAGTCCTTGGCCAAGGCGGGATGATATATTCATAAACGAATTATTAAACTTGAAATGGAATCATAGTTATTAAATCAATTTGGGTTTCGACAAAATCATACCCAAAGATTTAATCGGGAAATTGGATGTCGAAAGGATTTTATATGTATGGACTTGTAATCGAAATAGGTTTACTTGCTATTCACTTAATACTAGATTCATGCTACTTGCTAGATGTTCCCATGATATGTGGGTTCTTGAATTAAAGAGTTAATTCAAGAATAAGAGTTAATATGAATAACTCAAATTACAAAGAGTTGTAAACCCACTACTAGATTAATTGTGAACCTAAAAGGTCGCACCAATTTTTGAATGAAGGTAAAATTTAAATAGTATTTCTAAAGAATTAGAATTAATTGACAAATCTAATTTGATTAGATATCAATTAAAGAAATATATTAAATTAATCAATTAAATTGATTAATTGAATTTTGGATATTAATTTAGTAATTAATAGAATTACTAATTAATAGTTGGAATTTAAAATTAAATTTTAAATTTCAAATCCAAATAATAATAAGATTATTAAATAAGAAAATGGAAGAATAGATTAAAATAATAAAGTCTTGAAAAATATTTTCAAGAATTATTATTTTATTATTTATCTTTAATATGATTGAAGATTAAATATTAATAAGAATAAATTAATTATGGTGGTTTGGAGTTGTTAACCGATCCACATAATTAATCTTATTTTTATTAAAACAATAATGGTGGTTATAAACCACTCCACATTATTAATTAAAAGTCAATATTTGGTATGATTATTTAAATAAAATCTGATTTTATTTAAAATAAAATATATCAAATATTGATTATTTTATGCTAAAATGTTTAGTATAAATAGGTGACAAATGTTTGCACATTAATTGCTAAGTTTTGAGCAAAATTCTTCCAAGAGAAAATTCATTCAAAGAGTTGAGTGATAATACAAGAAAATATTCTTGAAAAATTTCCGTATAAATATATATTCTATACTTCTTGAAAAACCGAGTAGTTTCTACTAGCGAAGAAACTATAGTCGGAACCAAAGTTCAAAAGGTGGATACGATTAGAGGGAAGACATTTGGATTCCTAAAGTGAGTAACAACAAGAAGTGATCGTTACCAAACCGGGAATTAATTTCCTCATACATCGTCGATTTTGAAGGAGTTCAAGAACAAAGGTAATTTTTATAAATTAAATATCAAATTAAAATTAGTAAAAGTTACTAGATTTTAAATGATGCTTATTTATTATCTCGTTATACTTATGTACGGAATAAGTATTTATAAGATAAATACTTATAAAATTTTAAATTCCGCTGCAAACTCTGTTCTGTACAGTATATCGAACCTAACAATCACCACACACACAAAACACACGCCACACAACACGCAACACACGCACACACACACACACACACACATGGCACACGCACACACTTCAGCACAGATACACACACAATACATACACCGAATATATATACACGACACATACACACACTGTATACGCAACACACAATAACTACACACACATTACCTGTCATCGCCGGCCGCCGCCCTGCCCAGCCATTGTCGGCCGCCTTGCCCAGCCATCGCCGCAGCAGCACGCCACCATCGGGTGCCGGAGCGCACTGTAACGCCGGTCGCCAGAGCCAATGTAACACTTCCGCCGGAGCCCGCTATTAGACACGCACGAACATGAAGGCCGCGACACCACCATCACACAGGTCGACCTCCATCATCCGCTGTCGACATAAATCTCTCCGTCGTCGTTCTGCTCGATGCCGGCGATTGTCACTCCAAACGCCACCGTCTGGTCCGGCGCCAGAGCTCTAACGTCGTCCTCCCTCCGTCGGGAACTGACCGAGACGTCTCTGCCACTATCTCCGCCACATAGCTCAGCCGTCTGCAAGTGTAAATGGTGAAGAAGCCTCCGGCCCGCCACCGTCTCCATCGTGGTTGTCAATCCTTCCCGTCGCGGTCACCGTTCGTCCGTCGTCCACAATCAGAGAAGAGATCACCGGCGACAAGTACAAGTGGCTGAGGCAGCAGAGAGAACATGATTTGAGATTGCAAAATTAGGGGGTTT